CATTTATTATTTTCCGAGACATTTAATTTGTTGAATTCAGATTCAATTAGGACGCTAACTTCATTTTCAACGTCCATATTTTTTTTTTAAAAAAAAAATTTCATTAAATTTCAATAGGGATATAAAAGGAATTATCATAACCAAATTTAGATGAAACGGAAAATATTCTCCGAACAAATCAAATGATCGTATACTGCGGTAATTATTAAATTTGGCCAAGCTTTAACTTTAGCTCAAAATATCATTATGAATGTTTTAAACAATGTCTTGTTCTCTACTAGCTTTAATAAACACTCCTTTTGATCTAAAGTCTAGTGTCAAAAATATAGACTTATAAAATTAAAAATGAAAAATAATTTCCTTAGTCTGGAAATTTCATAAATACAAAATATATCTTAAAATAACATTATTTAGTTGATTATATAATATACAAGGCATTTTTTATTATTTAAATGTATTATATTTGCGATTTTATAGAAGAATTATAAGAAGCCCACCTTCTTCAAAAAGAATATTTGATTTAAATTAAAAAATTTAGAATTAAATTATTTTCATGTATTCCTCCTTGAATTCATCGCGACTAAAGAGACATGAATTATTATAAATTTAACTATCGAATCCCCACTAGGGTTTGGAATCAATTCTATCAAAATCGATAAAAAGTCGAATCTATTTTAATTAAGCGAGAATCAAACGATTCCTTGTTTACTTGAGAGAAAAATAATAATAAAAAAATCGCTCAATAATAAATAATAATTTCTTTTTTTTATAAAAAAAAAAAAAAGACGAAATATTAAATGAATAGGAACACCGCATACAATGATCAATATAAAAATAAAATAAAAAGAAATATTTAAAAAAAATTCATAAATGTTTCCGAAATAATCGAACTCGTAAGAAAAAAAAAATAAGAAAATAAATTTATCATAAATAATATAAATTGAAATCGATTAAAAAGATTAACGTTAAAAAACGAAACTAAAGAAATCATTTAATACCTAGTTCTGATTAAATTTATGATCAAAAAATCATTTGTCCATAAAAAAAATTCGAAAGAATCGAAATTGAATCTTATAATCAAATTAACATTTGAAACGAAGGCATTTTGATGTAACGCCGAATTTAAGAGTAAATAAAGTCAAATGTTTTTCTCTTATATTTAGGTTATTAGTCAAATTATTCATATTAATTGAATAGTTTAAGTATAAATGCCAATTTTCTATAGCATAATTGAAAATGTTTCGGTAGCCCCAAATTCATGTCAGACATTGAAAATCTTCATACTGACTTAACAGAAGGATTTCATCTTAATTCAACGGTTCCATTAATTACCTTAAATACATTGAAATTAATGGTTATTATGATAGGATGGATTTCATCCGATGGCAAATTGTAAAAGTTATTCAATCACAAAGAGAACTTCAATAATTTCACTTTGCGACAACGATCGATTCACTCAAAGCTTTAAAGCGCAGCAGTAATACTTTATTTAACATTAACCCATTACTACAATCGGTTCACATTATTTATATGTTGATAAATTAATATTTTTATCAAAATTAATGGTCATTCTAGCACATCTGAACATTTAAAAGATAATGAAGTTATAAAAAATAATATGATTAGGTATGCATGTAAATTATGCTATGGAAATTTACTTGAGTATCGAATACATTAAATCAATAAAGCGTATCTTTAGAATAATCATTATCTTCATAAATAAACAAAAATTCGACGTTAGAAATTTAACAGTCATCCTTAGATTTTGTAAAATTGTGTTTATCTAATTTAAAGTATTTACACTATATTAGAATTTTGGCCAAAATATTTATTTAATAATTACCGTTATCTTTTATGATTCATATATTATCTGTTATGTTAATTAATATTGACCACAAAAATTCCTTATATAAATAAATAATACTATAAATTTATTTTCTCAATATTTATTTTAATGAAATGAGTCTTAAGTAATCTGGAAACTAACCAAACTATGTAATTGTGTTCTTATAATAATATATTACAGTCAGCATTCTCAAAACACATACTTTAGGTAAGACATCAAATTTCAAAAAATGATTATATATTTTAAATATTTGATGGTCTTAATTTAGGAGTGATTATAATATAATACGTTTTGCGAACTTTGCATAATATTATACCATTTAATAAATTCTTACAATAAAACATTTTAATTTACAATTTTAAAATTACATCCATTCATTCTTTTATGATCATTTTTTCTATGCGAAATATTTCTTTAAGTCGTATTTTAAATGACTATATACACGATGGAATCTGATATCACATTTATCCAGTCCGATGATTATCTGCTAAGTAAGAATTTTTATGACTATTAATATAATACATATTAACGAACGATTATATTTTAAATATCAGAATACCTAGACAACTGATACATCAATATAAATTAAGTAATTTTAAATATCAAATTTCGCAATAAACTTAGTTTTTTACGAAATAAATGAATTCTTTACTATATATTTTGTCAAATTTAAAAAAAAAAATTCATTTTAATTTTAAAAATCGTGTTTGTTAAAATAAATAAATTCAATATCGCATCTTCAATAACTTAAAAATACTGATTATTTACCGAGTTACAATGATATAAACATTTGTCTCGTAATTTTATTTCATAATTTTTAGTATGTTATAGCTTATTAATGCAATAAAGATATAATTGAAAGAAATAAATTTGAACAAAATCGAACTATCCCGAAAAATCTCACAAAATTTTCATAGTTTGAATAAATAAAAAAAAGAACATGAATAATAATTCATTACCAATAAAAATGTCAAAAGAAACAAAACTATTGAATATTCAAAATACTAACTCAATTCCTTCCTGTAAGATCGTATTTGGTACGGTGGCCACATGATGCGGGCTTTATTGCTCCAATAAAAGTCCTTTGTAATCAACAGCTTCAGAAGTAAACCACTTTAAACGACTTAAAAATACCGATTTTTTTGTCATTGTTATATGACGAAGTAGATTTATCGTTATTGAAATTTACGCTGAATAATGATTCAAAACATAGGAAAAGTCGAGTTTTTTAAAAAAAAATAAGCAATTCGAAAATTCTCTTTTTTTAAAAAGGAATTATTCACTCCCAAAAATATTAAAAATATTATTGTTTATAATAATAATTGCTAAAAGTTTATGCGCCATGCGTAATGTGCGAAACTGTTAGTTTCGTTCTTGAATAACAAACGGGCATAATTTTCCTCGGCATAAATAATTTGACGCCAAATAAATATTATTATATATATGGTAAAAACCCTTCTTTTTAATTGAAGATTTACACGATTAAATCGGCGCTGGTATTAGATTCTGTGTAGATTTAAAGTATTATAAGCATGTCATTTATAATTTTTTTTTACAAATAGTAATATTAAAAGTCATATTTTGGTAATCAATGAATATTATTTTTATTTTATTTACGTTAATATTATATTTTAGTCTATAATAGGGTCTCCATTTAAAAATAAAGATGCTCGAACATTCATTTGTCAAATAATTAAAAACTAAATTTTCGGATCTATGCAATAACTAAGAATAAACTAAATTAATATAAAAGGAATCTCCGAAAAAACTATTCTCATCCTGCGACTAAAATTTGCAAAATCTGCCAAGTTCTACCTCCGGTAATTATTATCATTTAGCTGAAGCATCATTCTTTTTTTAATAAAAATTCATTCTAATATTAAAAAAAAAATATCAAATGTTTTAAAGAAATTAACAATAATTGGCTTAACTTTATTGGTTGAAAATTAATAGTTCTATTTGATATCAAACAAATCCAAGTAGCGAGTACATACGATTGGAAATTTATATCCTATTCTGGCAAGAATCAATTATGATTATATACAGTATACAAATTATTTTCTTCTATTCAGACGATAATATAAACTTCATCTTTTTAGGAGTTTAGCTATAAGTATAACGCTTATATTATATTTCTCCTTTGAGAAAATTCCTGGGAAGCCCTCTGATTATCCTTTTCTCGGAAATTTTTCAAAGATTTTAATAGAAGAGGCTGGTTTATATTTTTGATAGTTACTGTAAATTTGTAAATTATTTTTATTTCAATCTTATTTTTTGATATTGTCTGGTGAACCAATCTTAGTTGGGTAAAGAATTATGGAAATATTGTGACTTTCATGAACCAAATAATACAAGAAATTGTTTTAAGTCAAGTATATACTATTAGTGAAATGAATTTTTATTTGCGATTGATGTCTAAAAACTGTCTCTAAAACAAAATTTATGTTATTTCATACTTTCTTATACAGTATGACCTATAACATGAAAATGAGAACTTTCCTTAAATTCTCCTATTGCCTTTATAAATGCTCTAATATTATCATTCAATGTTGAAATGAGATACTCGTTATTTTCTTTTAATTAGATTAGAAATTGACTTCGGCATAAGCAGATGTTCTGCTAATCGAAACTTTTCTCTAACTCGACAAATAGTTTGGTCTTAGGTAATATCTAGCATTAAATTTCAATAAAATTCTCACTTTCCATGTATTTAATGTAGAATGCAAATGTATATTCACGTGTCGTATTTATTTTGTGACAGACCAGTTTTAATTGCTATGAAATGAGTTTTTAGCATCTAGATTTAGATTTTCTTCCACCTAGAACCTCGAGTTAAGAAGTCTCCTTCACAATAAATGTCAAGATATTTTCTCGCTTTAAAAAATTCGAGATTAAGTTGTTAAAGATCAGATGAATAAGCTATTGGTGGAACTTAATTTTCATTACATTATGTTCATCATTTTTCCATGTGAAAGTGTGAAAAAATTTTTTTCTCTTTCTGTCTATTTATAATCGATAATAAACGAAACTTCTTTCTGTAACTTTTGGAGTGATTCTAGTCAAGAACGCTTACTTTATTTCTGACAATTTCCTCCATTTTACAATCAAGACCGCTTACTAGTATCACATTACAGATCATATGATTTACTATCTCATGACTTGAACTTTACTGATCAAGACAAATTCTAAAACATGACTTTCTACTAGTAGGTAATTACCAGACGAAATGATTGAAATGATTGCTTTAACTTAGGATTATTAAACGGCTGAAGAATAGTTTCTAATGTATAATAAGCCCATTCAAAATCTTCTGGACTCTTTAGTGTTTATAATTTGAAAGTTGAGAAATTTTAAGAGAATTTTTGAGAGAGTTTGAGGTATATATATACTTTATGAATACTACGATATATATTTAAATGAATAAAAGGATATATATTTTTTTTTTCTTGTTAATTAATAATAATTCCGAATGTATTATTTTCTTAATGTGGTTAGTGATTGATCTTGGATTTTGATAATCCAATACGACCACTAATCATCACGTTCTCTAGTAATTTGTCCTCTGGACAAATTCCCCTTTTGATTAATAGTGTAAAATTATGGCATCAAGTCTTAGGTTAGTCTTTTCACCGATTCTCCTAGAACTCATTGACAGATCTTTATCGATTAATACATTACTCGCAATTTTTAATATTTACGTAATTTTACGGTCACATTTACCGCATTTACTAATGTGGTTCTTTGTGTTTTCAATTGAGATGAAAAAAAATAAGTTATAATCCGCAAGTTTTCAAATTTATTATCTATCTATTTAGAAGTTTTAATAACACAATATATTTGATATTTTTTTTTTATTAAAAAAATTAATATATATAGATATTGTTTTGCGAAATTAAGTTAAATAGTCTACTTTCATTATAAATTATAAATTTCTTAGGTACAGAATCTTTTTGTACGCCTTCAGAAAATTCTTGTCTAATTCTAGTTTGTAAACATTTGTATTGACCGAATTGACCCACCCACTAGCAAAAATCTAATGTTCACATGATATTTAACTATCAGCCACATGATTTCCGAATATCGTTAACGACTTTTTTCATTTTGCCCGATTTATACGCAAGTATATTTTATAATTCCCATTCAGAAATTTCATTTAAGTTCAAATTTCAACTATTTTGCGTTGGAATATTAAACGCAAAATTAGACATAATTTCATTGCATTATTATTCTTAAGAACCTTTAAAAATAGAGAGAGAAAAAATACTAATTTAATCATTAACATAAAGTTTAATTTTTTTACTACCGAAAGTACAACCACTGTATATCAAAATCTAAATAATCCTACTGAGTTTTAACAATCTTTAAATATCTTCGCCCTAATTGTTTTAATGACTTATTTATAATCCAATTCGACTGGCTTTACATAAGTTATCAATAAACCATTTGAGCAGTTTTGATTAGTTGAGTTTAGAAAAGATCTTAGCGTTAGTATAAACCAATTATTCTACATTGCTGTAGAAATCACTATATTTATGACTGTTAGCGTTTTC